GGTTCGCGCGACATCGCCAGGGCCCACCAGCCCGAACCCGAACCCGTTGCCCTTGGCGTTGTGTTTTTCCTTGTAGGCCTGGAGGTAATCCCAGAGCTTGGGGGTGAGGGTGTATTTCTCGGGGACGGAAGGCAGCAGCACGCTGCTCATGGTCGGATCAGGCCCGCGCGGGATGGCCATGTCGCTGAACGAGAAATCTGTCGGGTCGGCAAACCCGGCGATGAAAATGCGCTCGCGGCCCTGGGGAACCCAGGGACGGGCGCTGACTACCCGGAACTGTATGTGATAGCCGAGCTCGTCCTGCAGGACACGCAGGATGGTCTCGAACGTGCGCCCGCCGTCATGGCGTTGCAGGTTCTTGACGTTTTCCAGCAGGAATGCACCGGGACGTTTGGCTTTAATAATGCGTGCCACGTCGAAAAACAGCGTGCCTTGAGTTTCATCCTCAAAACCGTGCGCCCGCCCAAGCGCATTTTTCTTCGAGACGCCCGCAATCGAAAACGGCTGGCAGGGAAAACCGGCTAATAATACGTCATGTGCCGGAATGCTCGCTTCAGGTATCGCGGTAATATCCCCGGCAATGGGTTGCCCATCGGCAAAGTTGGCGTGGTAGGTACGTTGGGCGTAGGAGTCCCACTCGCTGGTAAACACACAGCGCCCACCTTGTAATTCAAATGCTTTGCGGATACCACCAATCCCAGCAAACAAGTCGATGAAGGTGAAATCAGCACTGTCAGCGGGTTTGCCAAACGGCATCAACATCTGTTGCAGACCATACAGAATGCCATGTTTCGGCTCTGTCTCATGTTTTAGCCAACGTCCGACGGTGCTGGGATTAACTCCCAGCTTTTCAGCAATCTCGGAATGGTTGTAGTAGTGCGCAGCCTCTTCAAGACACTGCAACACCGTTGACACTCTGACTTCGTACATGATTGACTCCACGGGAAACTTTTTTGCATTTTATGATTAAAGTTTCCCTTGAGCAATCAATGGTTCGTTTTTAGTTCGTAATTTGGATTCAATAAAATTGATGGATAGAGGAATTTCTTCAATAACTTCAGTGACTGAGGAATCCTTGAACCGTATTGATAACCCGTTGAAGAAAGACGAACAGTGTGGTTGGCGCGTGAAGTCATTGTGTTGCCAGCGTTTGCAGGTGCTGCGTTCCTGTGGGGAGCGTTGCATTATTTGGGGATTGATCCGGTCATTTTTACCACGGGTATGGTGGAAGTTAACTTGACCCTCGTGGTGGGATTGGTAGCGGGTGTGCTGGCGTTTTTGTTGTATGTTTGTACGGGGATGATTTACGCCGCGATCAAATTCATTCAGGAATGGGCAACGCCGTTGACGATCATTAACTACGCGTTATTGGGCTTGGCTTCGGGTTTTTCGCTGGCAGCCGCGCTGAGTGCGTATTACTGTAGCGCTTTGATGGATGCGTATGCCTTGTGGGCGTTGGTGTTTACCTTGGTGGGTTTTGTGAGCCGTATGTTTGCGTTGCGTC